TTTCTGTTATCAGTGATCTCTTCCCACCTTGCAGCTATCGACCCCTTCCAAGAATAAGGAAAATGGCTTAATCATTGAGAGAGATTTTGGAGTCAAAACTCCTTGAAGCCATATTGCAAAAAAACCAAACCAAAACTCTCCAAGTTTTAAGTCTCCTGAAAAATGGAATACTGGAAAATGCTGCAGCAAAAGCGTCTGTAGCCCAGGAAGGACATGCCACTGCTCACAGTCCCCAGTGAATGATGTGTATGGGAGGAGGGAAAAGGTTGCTGACCCAGGCATAACTTCTAGGAGTACTCAGCAGACCTGTTGCTGTGGTTACTAACCAGAGCCTCCCCTGAATGAGTGCTATTTGCACTGCACCAGATGGCTGATAAATCACACAGGGGAATTTGCTGGCCCTTGTGCTACTGTCCAGTCCTTTCTCCAAGTGCTATGATTTAATTTGCAGCAATTCACACATAGATTATTTAGTCATGACACACTAATATAAGACATGAAACTGCTGCAGGTGTGCAGTCACTTTAATGAACTTCTGTATCACCCATACAACAACAACAACAATGTATTTTGTCTTATGTATTGATGTTCACATTGTTGCAATTTGATGAACAATGCTAAGCTGAGAAAAAAAACCTATGCCTGAATTTTAATATAATTTTAATAACATAGTTACTGTAGCACATTTACTGCAGAGGGAAGTGAGATGCCTTTTGCAGTTCATCAGCCTGCCACAAGCATTTCTGTACAGGCAGCATCAAAAACAATGAAGCATAGATGAAGATTAAACACGCTCATTGCATAAGAAAGTAATGCTTTTGCCTCTGTATTTTCTGCTACTTCCTTGTCATTACTGCCTTGCCCTCTCAGGATGACAGTCCATCTGCCTGGACTATTTATTATTATGAGTCTTTAGCTATTGTCAAATGCTTTAGCCTCGCTCTTACAAGTGGCATTCTAACACATTAAAAAAGCCAATAATATTAAATATGTCTTGTGATACACTTCAGAGTCTGAAACATAAATATCCTGTCCCAGATTTCTATTAATTAAAATAAGGAAAACAACAAAATTTATGGAAACCAAGCAAGAGACTGATGAATTTTTGATACATTACTCCAAGAGTAGGCAACCTTCTTGACTGGGCAATGGAGCAGCTTGGTTGTGTGGTTCAGTGCTGTTGTGCCCAACAAGCTTCTGGACACTGAGAGTACCTGGAGCATGCCTGGAGTCCTTGCAGCACTCTGTCCCTGTCACACTGAGGAGTCGTGTTCTGTTCTGTCACTTGTGTAATGGGGATATGAATCACCTTCTGTGGTGCATGAGTAAGAGCTCAGCATCTAAGCCTGCTGCTGTGCCTACAGTCACTTTTTATGTACAGCTGCAGCCATTTCCATAGATTAAACTTCAATGGTATAATTGGATGAAGAGATTGCAGCCAGGATTTCTCTTATCTTTTTCATTTTGAACATTCACAGAGCTCAGCAAGTGACATCTTTATTTTACATCACAATCCAGCACCTGCCATCCCTTTTCTTTGTTATGGACAGAAGCCACCTTTAGTGTGGGAGAATTACTCTCAATTCTCTGGTCCAGTCTTCTGACTATATAAAATACCCCAAAACACCCAAGTGCCATTGATACTTCTTGCTCTTTAGGTTCATTCTATTACATCAGTTCAATTCACTAGCCTATGATGTAGCTATCATCTAGAGTCTCATAGGCATTTTCAATGTTACTTACTCTTCTGTATAAAAGGAGCTCTTTTCTTCCTGTAAGTCACTGTAAGAGGAATCATTTAAGTTTAGTGTGATGCCTTCATGGGTATAGGCTTAGATTGCCTTCAGCAATCAAGTGCATTTCTTCTGAACAACCCGACTTCATCTGATTTTTAAGTACTCCAAATCAGTGTTCCATCAGAAAGAACACAACAAAGATGGTGCCCTGAAATGACAAAAATGAATACCAACAAAAACATTTTCTTGGCTGTACTACCCTTCCACCAAAATCTGTCATTTTAAGCCTCTTAATATAATTTCAATACTTAGATGGTATTTTCTACCATCTACATTAAGTCAAGTTCTCTCCTAAATACAGTTTATTGAGAAAACTAGTCCCATCTGTTATATGTCTGCATGGCTGCTGACTTGAACTTGCAGAGGAAAGTATTTTGTAAATGATGAAACAAAGATTAGTGCTGCAGTGTCTTGATGATTTTGGGGTACTAGTTCTCCTGAATTAGCTTTGATTTCCAACTAAGGAGGGGGATAAAGAAAGCCAAAAACCCACTGTAACTTATGCTGTATATTGCAGTGTCTGCCTTTTGTTCTCTTCTTTTCACATATAGAACATGGAACAGAGATTCTTTGAAATTCTCTTTTCCAAAGAGAATTTCTGCTCTTCTTCTTTGATTTCGCATCACATTGGAAACCAATCTTTTACAGGAGAAAAAAAAAAATTATAAAATCCATATATTCTGCTGCTATATTTTTAAAAAGGAAATAATCAATAGATAGGCATTGTGACTTTGTCCTAATTATTATAATTCTGTATTTTCTGTTTACGCAGCAACCTCCATTCAAATATTTTAAAGACGCAGCCCTGAGTAAATGCTCTCCCCACTTCTTCTTGTGAAAGATAATTTAATTACTGTGAGGCTACAAGATTTATCCAGAGCCAAGCAGCAAGCTTATGGCAGAACAACATAACACCCCAGTCTCTCTTGATTCCCAGTACTGTGCTCTAACCACTCATCCTTGCTGCTTTACACAGTTCATGACAGCTTACACAGAAAGGAAGCATCAAGGATTTCTGTGTTGACAGTATGTAATCATCCTGTAGACAGTCTAATAATTCTTAGGTAGATTATATTCAGCCATAATCATCTCCAGTGTAATTAGAGAAGAGACTTAGTCATCTAAGTGAGCATAATATAGGTAACATAAGTGGTGTGCTATAGGATATAATCTAAACCCATTTCTAAATTGCACCTGCTCTTTTCATCAGCTGTCTTTCTGATTCTAAGAAGCAAGCTGCCTGTGACGCAGTTCATCCTTGATGTAACTCCACAGCAAGGAATTTGGGTTGCTATGTTCAACTAAACTTGTTACAATTAAATTGGTATAAAGTCCTCAGTTTTTCAGTCATTTAGATCACCTTTCAATTGCATATCTTAAGCAGGAGATATACAGTCTTTCCTGCTGTAAAACACACTGAAATGTAATTCTGATGGCAGCAAAACTGATATCAGAGGAAAACAAAGGTCTTGCCTAAAGTATATAATGGAAACCCTCAGAGTATGAAGGGCTTCCATGTTGCTAATGATCAGCCCAGCTTCTTAATCAAAAGCATTGAGCCCAAGTAGTCTCCATTCAGGCTACTGACACCTGAAAGGTACAATGCCACAGTGTATCACATTCACTGAGACTGGGAACAGCAAACTATTTTCTCTCTTGGTTTTATAATGAAGCTGCAACTTCTAGTCTGCATTTAAGTTTGACAGCAGCAGTGTCCAAAGCTTATTCACAATTTCTGAACAGACACAGACCTGCAGTGCTGTTTGTGGTGATGAGAGGAAATTCTTTTTGGTGCACAGAGTTTCAGAATTTTTCCTTCTATATTTTCTTTAAATGTAAGGTCCCATATGCAGATTCTGTCTGGCTTTTGTTTTCTCTTTAGCCAGGTTACTAAACCAGATCTTACAGGCAGTGTAATATTTAAGTGGTACGGCTTTACCAACTTAACATACTTGCTTCTTTCTGCTCTCATGATGAAATACTCTAGTTTGTAGTGTTCTTTAATATCTCTACTGGCTCATCCTTGCCTCTCTGACCTTTTCCCCTGCTTTCTTTTAACCTTCCTGTCTTCCCATCAAACACACCTGGCAGTCTCTTCTGCACATTAAATGTCTGGTTTGAGGCAGGAATTGGTGGAATGTGCAGCAAGGTTCTTCTCCTTGAATACAGAGATAGAAACATCAAGGTGCTGCCTTATACCAGCACCATGTAACCATATGTGTTAGACCACATTTAGCAATTTAACCATTTATGCAAGGCCCTGCATGATTATACTCAGCAGTTAAACTATTTTTACCTCTGCATGGAGGCAGAGGTTGTGTGCTGAGGATGCAGCACAGAGGACAGCTCCATTTGGGCAAGACTGGCAAAGAGGGCAGGCCATCTGCTCCACATGCCACGGCAGAGGGACGCTGTGCTGTGAGTGGGGTCCCCCTCAGAGGGACAGTGGGTGCTGCTTTGCTTTGGGCCTGTGCTGCTGCTCCTGCTGTATCCAAAGAGCTGAGAGGTCCCTGGAGGATCAGCTGCTGCAGGGACAGGTGCCCACTGTGACACTTCACATGGAGCAGCAGGGAATTCCTCAGTGAACCACAGAATCACAGAATTAGGTTGGAAAAGATCTCCAAGATCATTGAACCCAACATTTTACTGATCACTTCCTCACCAACTAGACCCCGGCGCTAAATGCCAACCCAGATGTTTCTTGAACACTTCCAGGGATGGTGACTTCACCACCTCCCTGGGCAGCCCATTCCAATCCTTAATAACCCTTTCCTTGAGGATACTTCTAATGAGGTCATCTCCTCAGCTTGGCAAAGTTTGGAGAACTCCTTTCGCAGTGGTTTGACTGGTTAATGAGGTAGCAGCCATACTTTAAAACACGCACTTCACCTCCTAGACTTACCTCTGCGTGAGACAGAGGAGCAAAAGTTAGCCATAAGACTAAAACTGAATAAAAAAAAGCCCCTTCCCTTTCAACACGCTCTTGGTCCTCAAGACGGGCTGAGGGACAACATGCCGAGCGTTGATGGCTCTCCGCAGCATCCCCGAAGGGCTCGGGTGGGAAGGGAGCACAGAGGGATGGTCCGGGGCCATCCCAAAGCAGGCGGCACGGGCTCGCGCTGTCCCCGGGCCGGGCCCGGCCGCGGAGCGTGAGGCGGCGGCGGCTGCGCGCGCAGGGGGCGGGGCCGGGGCGCCGCGGGGCCGAGCGGAGCGGGAGGAGCGGGAGCGGCGCTCAGGTACGGCAGCGGTGCCGGCGGTGCCGCGGGGCAGGGCGGCAGCTCCCCATCACCTCCCCATCACCTCCCCGTCCCCTTCCTCCTCGGGGCGGCGCGGCCGGGCTAGTGTGTCACTTCTCGGTGTCGGGGTCTGCCGGCAGCGACCTTCCCGGCGGGGCTCGCCCCGCCAGCGCCGGGCGGCGGCGGTGGACAGGGAGGGAGGGAAGGAGAGAGGGAGGCAAGGAGGGATGTAGGGAGGCAAAGAAGGAGGGAGCCGTGGGGGCTGTCGCGGGAGGGGAGCCGCGGGGCTGTCGCGGGAGGATGGCGCAGAGCCCTTTCCCGGAGCCGCGGCGGGCGATGTCCCCCGGCGCTCCGCGCAGCTGCCCCCGCGCTGGCGGGAGGCTCCGCGCCGCCGGGCGGGGTCTGCGGGCCCCCCGTGCCGTGGCTGCGCCGCCGCCTCCCCCGGCCCCGCGGTGCGGGCAGGACTCGGTGCTGGGAGCTGGCATCAGCAGATGCTGTCCCCGGCTGTCCTTTGCCTTCCCGGTTGAAGCAAGGCTCTCCGGCGTCTCGTCTTCGCTGGCTGCGCTCTCTGTTCGCTCCTGTTTTCCCTTCTGTTCTGTAAGGACCCGGCGAGGGTTGTTTCCCCCCCATCTTTTCCTTGAAGGTGCCTTTTCATATGGTCACCTTGAAACCCAGAAGCCTTCCTGTGCCTTTCTAAGCATACTGTTACGCTCAGGTAGGTACGTGCTGGTCTCGGTCACTGATGAGCAGATATACCTTCCTGCAGGTAGGTATAGCCAAAAACTGACATCTCTATTTGTGCTACTGTAATAATGCTACAGGCTATGATTAATCTGCCTTGAAAAGAAAATTCTCCAGTACTGATAGTTAAAGGGGGAAATAAATCGAATTAAATCGGATTCTCAAACAGAAGACAGCTTAGGGCCTTGATGCTATGAATTCACATGCTTGTAAATCTGTCCCTATGAAAAAGTGTCACAGAACTGAGACAAGCCATCCATATCTGTAAGATATGAAACTTTAATAAACCCAGAGAAAAGATTATGCTGTAGTAAACTTGGTAAATTTTGTGATGCAAACTATTTGTCTAGCTAGTTTAAAAGGTAATAAATATATGAACTTGTGAGAAGTGGAGTGACTGGCTCATTTGGTTATAGGCTACTACAGTTTCAACTATTGCTCTAAAAGCTGTTTTAAAATTAGTGATTTAAGGCACTTCCAAACATGCTGTTTTGCTCATAATTTGCACTCTAAATCTTCCAGCCAGGCAAAACAAAATCTTGAAAACCCTCCAATCATATTCTAGGGAGTACATCTCTGTGAACACAGGACTTTCAGCTTTTTGAGGTGAACCAACATGAAATTAAATTAAACCATTTATAATGCTGTGGACTTTTGCAAGTAGCTTATGTCCCAGAGCTTACAGAAACAGCCTAAAAAGGCAGGTGTTGTTTTGAGGCAAATGTGGTGGATGAAAATCCTTTATTGGTATCAGTCAGTTTTGTCCTCCCCAGAATAGTATTTTTGATGCTTAGAACTTGAGATTTTTAAAGGTCTCTTCCAGTTTTGAAAGACATTAATAATTTTGTTTGTTTGTTTGTTTTGGTGTTTTTGTGGTTTTGGGTTTTTTTCTTTTCCTTTGTTTTATTTTTCTAAAGTACGGCATGATTTAAGCTCCATTTATTCACTTGTGCCAAGGTTGGTATCTTTGGTAAAGGGTGCTGAATTTGGCTCTCCACCCTCTCCTTCAGAAGTCATCAGCTGTGGATGCTTTATGCATCTTGCATGTTGGAAAGTTTGCTCGATGTTCGAAGCTTCTAGTAAGAGTTTCTTTATTATGGACTTGAAGAGTTGTGAAGATGGACATTGTCCCCATGGTGTATTTTTCTCTTTGCTGTAAATTCAGCAGATTGAGAAACAGAATTGCTGTTTCCAGTCCCCAGATGCCTGGGTTCTGACAATGTGCTGCGTTACATCCTAACATTTGCAAACTCTCATGGATAGTGTTGCAACACTTTCTGTTTTTTGGGGTATATTTAAAACTGCCGGGAGACTTCCATCCAGCTACTTTGATGCTTTTTTTTTTTTTTTTGCCCTTGTTGACATAACAATGTTGTTGATGTGAACCGAGGAGCAGTCAGGGCGCATTAGGCGGCTGTGTGAGGAGCTGGACAGCCTCCCCTGCGCAGGGACCCAGACCCGGCTGGGGCGCAAAACGCGACTGAGCTGCGTCCTCACGCACCTGAGAGTTATGCAGCACTTGGCAACTTCTCCTGGTGAGCTTGGGTGTTGTCCAAAGGTGCTTTAGATGCCAGCAGCCCCCAACAAGGGTCTGCGCCCCAGTGACAGAAGCGAGGAAACAGGTGCTTCTCTGCAAAATAGAGAGTGTTACAAATCTGACCTTAAACTGCGGGCTGGGATAAAAGCCACAAAAGGGATAGACTTCTGTGGCTGCTGGGAGACTTAATTAAGAGCACTGACACCCACTCAGTGAAAAGTCTGTATAAATAATGAATTTTCCCTGTATGTGCAGCCTGTGATGGAAATGAGTCTGAAATCTGTTGTCTTCTGGATGACTGACCCTGATTTGTTTTTAAATAGAACTATGTTTGCATTAACATAATTCGGATTACGTGGGACAAAAAATAAGATCCTGTCTTATTTTTGAAAGATGCCTGCTTTGAAAGCAAGGACATACTTTGGACAAGGGTGTATTACAGAATTAAAATAGAACTGGTTGGTCAAGGGATTGTAAACTTTTATAACAGCTGAAGTCTCACCATTTGTTGGGACTTAAAGTGCTGAAGAATTTTAGAATGCTCATTTGATGGCCACTACCTGATTTGGTTTTTTTTTTTTTTTTTTTTTTTAAGACAGTCTAAAGCGATCTGGCAGCTGTTGGCAGGAATATTCCAAATATTCTTACATACAGCAAGAGAAATATTTTCAATTCCTTCCAGGCCTATTATGCATTTGTTCAGTTAAATGACTGAAGGGAGCCCACAGCTTAGTAAAGCTTTGAAGTGCAACTTGATTTTATGCCTGTGTAGGGAATTGCTACTTCTCATAATTCAAAAATAAAAGTAAATTTACTGGAGAAAAAGGCCATCCCAAATCCGTGACTCAAAGTTTGACCATTTAAAATAAATTCTTGAGAAATTTTCAGCATGTAATTACTGTGAAAAAAAGAAAAAAGTCTTGAGCATGGCTTGCTAAATTTCAGCTGCTGATCAAACTCCTCTTGGATATCTTGTCAGGCATAGCTTGGAGGGACAGAAACAATCACAGTTGGATGTGGCACCTTCAAGCAGTAAATTGGCATCATCATCCATTGGTAGTTCGGAAAGAGTCAAACAATTTGACTTAGGTCTGATAATGAAATGTCCAAACGATAGGGACACAGGCATCTGGCATGGTTTATATTCAGGAACAATCTCTGCTTTCTAATTTCTTAATACGTGCAACCTTCCTCTTGCCTGATAAGTCATGCATTAAAACTGTCCAACTTGTCAATAAAAAAAAGAAAAATAACCTTTCAGTGTTTCCTTAGATGGGAACAGTATTATTATTGTGCCTTTCAGTTTGCTGTCTTTGTTCTGTGCCTGCAGCTGAATGAATTTTGCTTTTCATTTCTGTTTTTGGAAGCTCTGGTTTTCTGCAGGGTGCAGAGATCACATGTCTCTATGTGCATAAGATGCTTGGCTTGATTTGTAAGTGGAAACAAGCTTGTCTCAGGCACAAGAAACATCGTAATTTAAAGTTAAAATAGAGGTTGAAAACCAACAACTAAGCCCTGAACTAAGTTTTCACAATTGTAACAGACCTTTTTTTTTGCCACTCCATTAAAAATATGGAAGAATTGTGAATAAATGATGCATGGCCCATTCCATATATTCTTCCTTTTCTAATGAGACAGCTGTGATCCAAATCTGAGGACCCTTGCTCATATGTTGGCTCTCTGTTTTTTATTGTAAATGTTTCTTGCAGATTAGTTCACTTACTCTTTCTAGTTGCAATGAAAACAGGTTTATTGAAATCTTTAAATGTTACTGAAATAGTTCAGCAGTATTAGCACAGCTGGGTTTCTGTTTTATAAAAGCACAAAATGTATTTGAGGAATAGTCATCCTTAATACACAAAACCACAATATATGTCTTCATAAAAGGTTTAATGTGCTCTCTGGACCTTAAAAGCAGCTCAAATCTCTTTTGTAAGATAAATATTAAAGAAAATGCTGTCATCACCAGAATGTAGTCCAAACTTAGCAGCAAGGAGTTTAGCAGCCTGTATTTCTGTGACCTAAAGCACCTGTTAAAGACCAGCTTTAATCTGAAGAAGCCAAAGAAGTGAGGGCAGATCAGGCTATAAGATCAATAATACTGATGTTCTGACCAAGCTACAGTGGAGGTCTGAGATGAAACCCTAGTGTTAACACTACCACACTTGTTTTTGTGGACACCTGTGCTGTCTTGAAAGCATTATGTTGATTATTGCCAGCATTAATAATGGTACTGTTAATCTAGGACACTAATAATGGTAATACTAATCTAGGACAATCACAGGTGTGGTTGAAAAATTGGGAATTAGGAGAGGTTTCACTTCATCCTGTACAACACTTTGATCATGTCTGAGCTTCAGAAAGCTTGACAGTTATACCATCAAAGCTCTTGAAGACAAAAAATGTTTGAAAGATGAGTCAGTGTGATGTATCTGTGGAACCTCACTGAGGTGAATGAAAGCAAGGTGTGCTGTTCCTCGCTCCATCCTTGCTTGCTAGCATGGCTGTGCTGAGTAATGAACACAGCAATTATGCTCCTGGGTGAAGGTTTGGCCTGATCAAGCTGAAGTTTTGCCAGCTTCTGAGTCAAATCAATACAAGGCAAATTTTACATCTGAATGCTGCTCATCACAGCATGAGGTGAATGCTCTTCTGGTGTCAGAGCTGACTGCTTGGTCTCACTGAAGCTTAATGTCCTTAATATCTGCTCCAATTTCTTGTG